CATGTAGACCCATCTTACTCCATAGCATTGTACTGTCTTGTTCGTCACTGTCCTGAGGTTTGGGCCTTTGTGCTTGGTCGATCTTGTACACGGGATAGTTGTCTGCAAACCATAGTGGACAGACATGTGTGGCTGCTCCACTGTCGATCATGATGTGCATAGTGTCTGTTGTGCCGCTGCTTGTGGTATCTGTCTTGCAATCATTGCCATTGCTGATCATGGCGATGACATGGATTGGTGTCATGTCATGGTTGCCGGTGGATGGAATTGGTGGTAGTGCCAATGGTTGTTGTCCTTGTTGTTGCCGTGCGTAGTCCTGAAAGTGCCATCCATTGTCATAGTAGTCGTCGTACCATTGTGCTGTCGCATCTTCAATGTCATTGCTTTCTCCTTGTCCAATGTTGTGTATTGCCACTCGGCAATCGTTGGCATAGTGTCCTGTTCTTCCACATCTGTAGCATGTATCTGTTGCTTGTTTTCCTTTGTTCTTTCCCTTGCCTTTGTTGTATCCTTTGCTGAATCCTTTGTTTCCTTTGTTGCCTCTTCCGAATGGATTGCCAAAGCCGATCGGACTGTTGTTGTAGTTGTTGAATCCTTTTCCTCCATACTTTCCTTTTCCTTTGTGGTTGATGTTGTAGCTGTGGTAGCCGTAGCCGTTGTATCCTCCGTAGCCTTTGCCTTTGTTCTTTCCTTTTCCTTTCCCTTTTCCTTTGTAACTGTTGTACTTCCCTTTTCCTTTGTGGATTGCATCAATGTCCATAGGTGCTTGTCCTCCACCAAAGCTTGTTGCTACACTGGATGACTGTGATCGTAGTTGTTGAAGTTTGCTGAATGCTGTTGTTGATCTGTAGTACTCGATGATTGTTTGTTTGACTCGTGCATAGTTTGGGCTTTGTCCTGAAAGCAGTTGTAGGTGTTGTTGTAGTGGTCCGCTTGTCTCGTTGAGCAATACGGCTATCTTCACGGAGTCTGGGAGTGTTTGTCCATTGTCTCGCTCGAATCTTTGTAGCTCAAATCCCATCTGGAAAACGATTCTTCAAAGTTGTTCTTGTCAAATGTTGGTTTCAACAATCTTGTCAAGTGTCCTATGGATCTTGTCCCCAATGGGATGGAGAAGCGGATGCACAGTTGTCGGTACATCTCGAAGCGTATTGTCTGCATACTGTAGCTGCCGCTCCAGTTGTTGTGTTGATGAGGATGTACCTCAAATCAGTGCTGAGGCGAACATGTCGTTCACCGTCTTCGAGTGTTGATGCCGCTACTCGTAATTGTAGCTCTGTGAGTTCTGCTGTGCCTCGTTCTGCTGCTTGTAGTAGTTCTGTGTAATCATTGTCTTGCAATCCCATGTATGCTGTGAACTTGTACTTCCATTCCTCGAACGTGCCATAGTCTCCATTGAAGAAAGGTGGTTTGAGTTTGTATCTGTTCATGTTTGCCATGTTGGTGATTGTCTCGTCTTCTGGAACTGGAGGTAGGCCATCTCCAGCTTGAGCTGCTGCTGGTTGTGCTGCCATTGTTGCAGCTGTGCAAGCTACCTGTTGCAGGGTCAAGGCTTGCTCTCCGTTGTCTGTGTTTGTGTGTCTGTTCCTGTTGTTGTATTGGAGCTCACCTGGATTGTTGTTACCAGGATCCTTGCTCCGGTACCATGTAAAATTCAGCAGCTGTTTGTTTGTCGTTTGTTTGTGCTCGTCTCTGTATTGTTTTCCTCTTCAGCTAGGCTGGGCTCAAGGCCTTTGATCCAAGGTGCATTGTACAGCACCGTGCAGTTGTACATCAACACTACGATGGAGTAAGTAAGCTATTGTGAAAAAGCTTGTCTCTTAACATCTTTCTTCTCCCTCTCCTTCTCTTTCCATAAATGTTATCTTTCTTTCTTAGGCCGGGGGCAGTGCCGACGAGGCGCCGCGAAATGCAACCAACCCTTTCGCACGAAATGCGCGTCAAGCGTCCAAAACTGAAGAAACATGGTGTGTCGCTGGGGAGCGGGACGAATGAATCACGAGGCTGGCTTTACGCTGTTGTATTTAGTCTGTGGCACACTGTGTGGCAAAATATTTTGTCTGTGTTATTCACACACATTTGATTGCAAGAGCACGAACCTACTTAAACATCGACTGAAAGACGTCTGTGGGGCAGGAACCGAGCCCGCGCATTTTCTTATAAAAACGCACAAACCTGCATAAACATTGCCTTGGAGACACCTTTGGGCACGACCTGAATTCACGTATTCTATTCTATTGTAAACACACAGAAATCTGTTCAAAAAGCGCCTTCGCCCTTGAAGACATTGGTAGGACCTGAACCCGCACGTTTCATTGCACAAATGCAAGCAACCCCACATAAACCTCGACTGGATGACATTTTTGCGGCAGGACCTGAATCCAAACATTTTATTACAAAAACACATACGAACCTGCATGAATATCGATTGGAAGATATCTTTGCTTCCCTCCTCCTGTGGACATCCCTTTCCCAAGCAAGCGTTTAAACAAACATAGAGAAACTGAAACACGCAAACAAACAAACAAACGAACAAACAAACAAACAAACTGTCAATAGCAACAAGCTAAAATATGTTGTTCTTGCTCTTGCCAACATGAAATTTTCACAGGTAACACTGACACTGCTATCAATTTACATTCTCAGTGGGACAGCTTCAATACAATGCCTGTAGCGCTCTTTGACACCCCTTGGCAACCAGTGGATTACTATTTGGCCACCTTGATCCAAATTAGGCAACGAGCTGTTTTTACGTCCGGGCCGGTTTCCAATATAGACTCAACCTCATCCTTTTCTCTTCACATTTTTCCAGTTCCACTGAAGAAATTATAGAGAAACCACGACCGCATAAAAGGTCCCTAAACGCAGCGCAACAAAATTTCCAAAAATGACGCGCCCCTTTTGGACGCGGCGTTGTCTTTGTTGTCCACATGCCATGACTATGTAATTTTGCGTCGTCATCATCTGTTTTGAGTGCCTTCAGCGGTGCCCACAGATTGGTCACATGGTGATGAAGGTGTCCAACGGGGATGGAACAAGAAGGTGTCCAGTTTGGAGCGGTCAAGGTTGTAGTGCTTTTAGAGACGCTAGAATAAACGAGATTTGATTTTATTGTGCTATATTGTGCTTGTTTTGCTACTGTGTTTGGTAAAAGCTTGTAGTGTTAGGATGGGCAGTGGGAATGCTGTAGGTTTTGAACCACCTGGTGATGTCAGCACAGTTGCCACACAAGACCGGAGATCCTGTCGCCGAAGATACAGTTTGTTCAATCACAAACTCTGACTAGATACTGTAAGTTTTGTTTTTTAACTCACTGTCGCTTTTTGGCCTTTGTGAGGTACCGACAACAAAAACCTATGGAGTGTCTTGAAACAACATGAAACAACAACGTGAAAATAGAGTAGAATTACCTACCAACCGCGACACGGTCATTCTGGTTCCTGCAATTCCGGGAGGTTGCAATGTCGATCGTGTACATCCATTCTGATCGACCAAAACTAGAGCTTTTCCAGCACGGGCACAATAAAGCCAAGGAACCTGCACCAGCGCAACATGTTTACAACTCACGAAAAGACACCCCCCGTAAGAAAGGCCCAAAAGCGTTGTTGAACAGAACAAATAGAATGAAACAGGAAGACAGTCTGAGTCTGGCAAGATTAGGCTTCTTTCGCGGCCGAGGTCGGGAGTTCTTCTGCGGCAAGGAACGCATTTGGAATTTGTTTGACTTTGAGAACTGGCTTCATTTAGTGAGCTTTGTTTGTCTTTTCTGACGGCTTCCTTAGTTTGGTCCGTGGGTTGGGACGAACCAAATCCAGGGATTTCCGTCGAAATAGGTTGCGCTTGTTTTTTGTGAGGTGATTGCCGGCTTGTCATTCATCGAAACTGCCATGGATATTGTGTCAAAGGCATCATTTGGGCACACTGAAATCATGAGAGTTCTATGAGCTGTTTACGTAGTCTACGTAGGCTTTATTTACACAGAGTCTGTTGTGGTTGCAGTGGAGGAACTCAATAGCTCTTTGTTGTTCATCTAGACGGGTAGAGTTGACCGGTCACGAACTGACCCATTCGCTTTATGATTTGTGTAAATGAAGGCTTAATGTCGACCTTCAATCTATAAATATAACCTGAATAAGGCTATTGGTAAAGGCAATAATCCCTGACTGCCTGAATTCACTTCCGCACTTTTAAGGAAGCACTGTTCTGTTTGTGTTTTGTTTACATGTGCATGGTTCGAGCGTTGAGACTGTCATGTTAGTGTTCGCCGTGCTTTGGACAGAAGTTTTGAGCAGTTTTCCATGAAACCCAAATCAGATCGAAACTCGTTGGGACAATGTTCGGGTCCCACTCTGGCAGGCCTTCTTGGATGTGGGCGAAATGAATTCCAGCCATTTGCGAGTTATGCGCTTCGCACGGCTGGCACGGGCACTGAGGGGCGTGCGGGTGATTCGACTGCTTAGATATGTCAGCGCCTTGCGAACCATTGTGCTCTTTGGACGCAAGGCAGGCTGTTCGGTGTGTAGCAACCAACAACACGTGTGATTTTTTGGAGGATTGTTGGTGGGCCACCGATTCCGCGCGTTATTTCAAACCATGAGCATGCATGCCACGCGCAGAGTTTGCAAACTGTTTCTCCAGTGCGCAAAAACGTTTCTCCTGTTGCATGGTGCCCGAGGTTTTCCATTGTCAGCACAATGAGTTCTCTCCTGTGGACATTGGTCCTTCTTTTGATGCTGTTTTATTGTTCCTCGTGCGCATAGTGGGGTGGACACCTCAGCGGCAAGCTGCAGCTGTTTTGGCCATTCCATCAAAGAGGAAAATCGTGCTTTAGTGCGTGGCGTTTTTAAACCTGCAGGTTTTGGATTCTGTGAGAGCTCCAGCAAGTCCAGGCTAGGTGAACTAGAGCAAACTAGAGCACCAAGGGCCTTCCAAATCCTGCGCAGGTGGACACTCAGATCTTGATAATCCCGATACGACCTTTAGCTTTTTCACATACTGAGGCTTCGGAGTGTTCATCACACAATTGGTGAGTGATAATTGCAGGCAGGGTGCCAAGCTGTTGATGTACTCAAATGCATCAGTAGCTTTGACAAAGAGGCAGAGGTGTCCATTGTGAATGTTTGGGCTAGAGGATTGTATTTTAATATCTGAAATAACAAGTCCCGGTTCTCAATGTTTTCCCTCCATGAGGTATAGTTTTGGGGTGTCACAGAAGCAGATTGCTGAGAAGAAATGGCTGATGGAGTCGAATCACGCATTCGCCAATCTCCTTGTAAGTGGTGTGCGCTTGGAGTATACAAAGATTTCAAGCCTGACTTGAGTTCCTAATGACGAAACCCTGTTGTTTCTTTTGTATATTTTCTGTTGTGTCCTCAAAGCATGTTACATAGAAGTCAAACAATTTTGGCCTTATAATGTACTTATAACTATACAGAAGCACTCAGAAGCACCATGTGTTTGTTTGTTTTGCTCCATTCGTACGTACTGATGCCTTGTCACAACCTCTCCCTTTGTTTCCCTACCCTTGCTCCGGCACAAGAAGGATACTTTCGGCTGTTTCGTACAGTTCCAAAGAAACGGAAACAAAACTCACAGGACAGGCATTGAATGAAAAGAGATAAAAAGAGTCGCTTCAAGCGACAAGCTCGGTCCAAACTGCAAGCTGGTGCTCAGGCACCACTTTGCCCATAAAGTCTATAAAGGGATATCGGGGTATCTATTGGTGGTAGGGTTTGCGCTCGAAACGTTTGGTAAACGAGGCAAACCAATCACAGATCATGTCGCATGCTTGCGAGCTTCCCTGCAGTTGTTTTGAGAGGTATCTCGCACAGCCAAATTGCTTAGAAAGCTTCTATCACTGGAGCTCTGTGGGCCGGAGTTGCTCGGTGCAGGGAACAAGCTCCAATGTGCCATTGTGTTAGGCGGATGCTATTTTAGTCGGAATTCCAGCTCGACGACAGTCCGGCAATTGCAAAACATCAATCTATCTCATGTGCTTCCCAAAAATGAATCTGAGGCATGTTAACACTCTTTATGTCCATCTCCGGTGGCCTCAGCTGGATCGAAGCTTTAGAGCAGTTGATGCAGGCAGCCTGGAGACGCAAGAGTGTTCTTTGCGTTTGCCATTGAAGCGCCTTCAAACTTTGCAATGATTACAATTGCACAAGAGCGTTGCATTCATATGCTGGCTTGCTGCAAACCCTTGCGAACGATAGGGGACTCGGGCTCACATAATATGACGATGCAATAGCCACCCATCATACATTTTGACCACAGAGGCCCCCATATACAAAACCCATCGACGCGTGCGAAAAGCTTGAGTGCTGTGGCGACCGCATGGCACTGGTGTTTGTTCATTTGCTTTCAGGCACATCCATTGGCTGTGGTCAGTATGCTGGCGCCATGCCTGCAAATTGCGTTGGGCTGAAGCAGTTGTACATATATAATCCCTTCCACTTCCATCTATTAAAAAAGGAAATATACTTAAAAAGAAAAAGACAACAACGGCGCGTGTTTCTTTGATATGCAAGAGGTCTCCAAAACGGGGGACCCTGCAAGATGTGAACTAAAACGCTCCTCGGAATTGCCGCGCAAATCAGAAGGTGGAAGATTTCATCAAAGGCCAAACAAATACAGTCCTGCGACCAAGGGAAAGATCAGGAAAAGGGAATGTCCCTCATACTGTAAATCACTGATTAAAAGCGTGATAAGGACCCGGAACACAGCCGGCAGTTCCTTTTTGTGTTTGGAAAGTTCCTTGATTTAAGTCTCTTCCCTGAAGCCTGTTGTAAAACCCCCTATTGAAACGCAAGCTAAGTGAGCGTGATGAGAGTCTCTAGACTCTACCTCTACCTTTTCCGTAGGAGGCAATCCAGCGGTTGATTCTATTGTCCCACAAGAGTGTCCCACAAGAGTCCTACAAGAGTGTCCCAAAAGAGTGCCCCTTAAGAGCGTCCCAAAATCTCACGAAAGGTAGCTTGAGCTACCTGAGTTCTCCTTGCTTTAGCAAAAATGTATTACAATCAGGAGTTGGGATTGTGCGTTGAATTGGTCCTGTAAGAGTTGATTCTGTTCGTCGGGGGGGGGCCCCCCTGGATCAAATCCCCCCTGCGCCGGTTCACGCCGTCATGGACTTTTACCAGGGTTGCTTGTGATTGCCTGCTACCTTTCGTTCACCCCCTCCTCTCTCAAGTAGCACTGTGGAGTCGAGATACCTCCATGTGTAACCACATGTAGAGAAGACAAACCTGCGCCTACTAGGCCGCAACCGTGAAAGCTCAAAGGAAAAGACCGAGCTTTGCTAGATGGCAGCGGAGCTGTGATCCCGATTCCTGAGCGTCTCCGGTGAGCTCCAGGCGAGGGAGAGGGAGAGAGAGAGAGAGGGCTAGCTTGGAGCTCATGGCTGCCATGGAGCAAGTTGTCATTGAGCCCCATGGGCTCACAAGAGTTTGTGGCCAGACTTTAGCAAAGGTGGAGAAGGAGAGGGATGGATCCAAAGCAGACCCGAGGACCCTGGTGTCCACTGGACCTGACTGGTCTTTCCTCTTCAAGAGCTACTTGGCCTTCATTGAGGAGGAGTTCACGAATGACCTGGAGCATGTGGAGAAAGCAAAAAGGAAGCTGTATGCCTACTTGGTCAGCTTTGTGAAGGGCAGACCGCCTCAGATTGTCCGGAGTGTGACGGACACTGATGGCTTTCGGGCCTGGCAACGGCTTTGTCGGGAGGACAAGGCAGAGAGAGCTTGGAATCATCCAGGCATTGGTGGCCTTTCCGCAGTTCGAGAAGGGCAAGCAAGATCCTTGAAGGAATCATAATGAAGTACGAGAAGCTGGTCGGTGAGTACGAGCGGCTGGCTGGAAGCTCCTTGGATGAGAACTTGAAGATAGCAACAGTGATGCGTTGTTCCTGGACAGTTGCAACAGCATTCGCACTAAGCCTGGCACTCGCTATGCACAGGTGAGACAGAGTCAAGGGTGACCTACGAGCAATCGACGACTGCCTGGTCGAGCACCAAGGTCCTCGAGCACTGCCAGATTGTGGCGGTGGATCACATCAAGGGCGACCACAAAGAAGGAAAGGGCAAAGACAAGGGCAAAGGAAAGAAAGGATCACGTAAAGGAAAAGGTTACAAAGGCAAGAGCAGGCAAAGGAAGCGGCAAGAGCCAAGACAAAGGCAAGGGCAAAGCAAAACACGCTTGCTTTGCTAGTGGCAAGCAAGATTCGCCACAGGGTTGCTGAATGCTGGCAGGAAGCGCGGTCAACAGGTGCAACAAGTTCAGACCCATGATTCAGGAGATCATGTAGGGAATGGTGGCGGGCAGTCTTCTGAAGACCTTCCACGAGGTGTCTTCAGCGAGTACGGCGCCTAGCAACACTTCTTACAGGAGTGCTGACGAGAACCTCAAGATCCAGGCCATTTCTGAGCTGAGCTTGGACTACAATGCTGCGCTGGATTTGGGCGCAGATGTGGGCTGGGTGCCCATGAACATGGGCAGCTTGGGCAAGAAGACCCATGGTGGAACATTCCTTCGAGATGCTCCCCGTTCAAGGGAAAGTTGCAACGACTACGAATTGCTTAGCTCAAGGCCTCGCGATGGCCAATGTGAAGCAACCATTTGTATGGGCAAGTGGATGAAGAAAGGATGGATGATCCAGAATGTCGAGGGCAAGCTCTACTTGCAGAAGAACAGCAACTACCTACCTTTGAAATGGCTGCGCGATACTTTGGTTGTGAGCTTTGGCTTGGAGGAGGAGGGAAAGGTCAGCTATGTCAGGGGCGCGTCTGGCAAGGTCAAGGCAAAGCCTGGCCTGGTTTGGCGGTCAAGAACGCCTTCACGTTGCAGGACATCTCAAGATGGCATGGTCCTCATGAGTTTCCTTGCAGGATAACTTGGCAAGTATGACTTTGTGGAGAGCGCGCAGTTCTGGATTGTTAGAAGGATGTCAGAGCTTGATGGCATCTCACCGTGTACCACGTTGACATTGGGTGCGCATTGTTCTCTCACGAGACCCAGGAACTTTATCGACAGCAGATCCCTCCTGAACTGACCTACGATAGCCCTACAAAAACTTGGGCTATGGGCTATGGGCGGTTGATGCCAAGCAGGAGGAGAAGATCTATGTGGAGTGCAATGGCGAGTTCATTGAACTTGGACGAAGCCTGCCTGGACGAAGAGTTGGGCCCAAGGCATGGTATGACCATCTTTGAAAGGTGGCGCGAGACCAAGGACTACAGCCATACCCTGCAAATCCTGAAGTCTTCTACAAGGTTGGAAAGATGCCCCTGATGGTGTATTCACACGTTGATGACTTACAACTGGTTAAAAGCCAACACGACGTGATCTGGAACTATGACAGTTCGTGTGGGCCAGAAGTCTCGAAGCCTTCACGGACAGTGATTGGGCATCAGACCTAGCCTCCAGGAGATGAATGTCACGCAGTCACATGTTCCTCAATCGGAGCCAGAAGAGCGTAGCTTTAGCTGTGAAGCTGAGTTCATTTCAGTGGCATGGCCGAAGGAATCTGTATCCAGTCCTCAACATGAAAGTAATTTTGGAACTGAGGATTGACAGTTCCTCTGCTCGAGCACCTCTACAACAACAAGGAGTTCAAAGAACACGACACATCAGCGCTGGACTTCTTTGGGCGCAGCAGAAGGTCGAGGAAAGAGAAGTGGCAATTCGGCCCGGGCCGGGCAAAGAGAACAGCAGCGATCTAGGAACCAAAAGCCACAGCAGCAAGAGATTGAGATTCTACCTGGCCTCATTGCACGACGCAATTGGCTATTTGGAGTACGCTGGAGGAGCAAGAGTTGGATCCCAAGAAGAAGAGATTCGACATGTCAAAGGACTTCCACAAGAACGAGTACAACAACTGACATGTTTGCTTTTGGCGAGCCAGAAATGATCTGGTACCCGTGGACTTTTCCCGACGGTGTTCACGATGGGCGCAATTTTGGCGACGATGGCACTGAGCTTGCAAGGATGTGACTTGGCGCTGATGGTACTCAACGCAGGCTCTGTTGGGGCATGGTCTCTCTTGGCTGAGATGGGATACCAGGTTCTCCAAGCTGGTATGATGATGGTGGCATTCAACGTGATGGTCTTCATCCTATTCTACCTCTGGGATTACTTCAACCTACTACCTGTCGAAGGAGAAGGAGAGCCTCAACTACCTGGATATGAACCACCTCAAGATCCTCATGAGTTTGAACAGCAAGACAACTGCCGGATATGATCCTGAAGAAAGCGGACAAGATGGGTGAATTGTGGAACGAGCCTGATGGAGGAGGAGTTGTCCACCTACTTCCTGAAGGAGGTGAAAGTGATGATCACGAAGAAGAACAACCAGAGAACTTCACAGAGACCGCATACATGCACCTCTGGTGGGGATTTCATTGAAGGTGAATACACTGAGGAGACAAGCGCAGATGATGTGATGATAGCATCTGTGGAAGATTGGGGCCCTGTGTCGCAAGAAATCAGGACTTACCGAGAGTCGTGGAGGACGTGGATGGACGCCTGGAACGACATGGTGGGGATCTCAGTGGTGAGAGCGAGGAAGAAGAAGATGAAGATGATGCTCATGAGCTGAAGAACCAGAAGGTGGTGGACAAGGAGAAGTTCGGCGAGTTCACGAAATAGCAGCTTTGAGAGAAGAGCTAGGAGAACATGCCTGGCGTGGAAGATGGTGTGCCTGGCCTGGTGCTCTGGTTGAATCCAGAGACAGGAGAAATCCAGATGCATCGACTTCTTGATCTGGAGATTGACACGCCAATGGAAAGCCCCAACTCGGGAAGCGATGGTGGAAAGTGGCATCTTCCTCGACTACACGGAGAACCTGATCCAGAAGATGAAGTACCTGAGTCACGCAGAGGACTTGGTTGGCCGCCGGGGGAACAGGATGGATGTAGATTGTGAGAGAAGGAGAGCCAGCGGCATGACTAGAGAGCAATCGCTGCCAGAGACCGACAAGCTGGCAGAGAGAGATAAGAAATGTTGGTAGAGGCTACAAAACGCCTCGACCAAAGGAGGAGTGTAGCACTGTGGAGTCAAGATACCTCCATGTGTAACCACATGTAGGGAAGACAAACCTGCGCCTACTAGGCCGCAATCCTGAAAACTCAAAGCAAAAGACCGAACTTTGGTAGACAAAACATGTCCAAGGAGTGCCCCCCAAGAGTCTCCCAAGAGTGTCAATCAATGTTTGGCCGCTTGTTTTCGGGTTCGTGGATTCCATCTTGTTTAATAGGTGTTCCGTGTTCAGGATGAACTCCCTGTTAGGTATACATCAGCCCAACTTGTAGACATTTCTTTGTCGCATCCTCTCGAAGACAGTGGCCTTCGCTGTTGCAGAACACTTCGCACTACAGATCCGTCTGAGGTGTACATCACAAGTACGATTTTCGCCGTGTTGAACGTAGTCACCGGAGTGTTCTGACCCGTGGCAGCACAACTCCCGGAGGAAAGGTTTTCAGGACAGTTGCAGGATCACTCCACCATGTTTTGCCTCACTGTTGTTACTTGTCACCTAACTTTGTCGTAGAGATGTTCCCCAATGTTCTGAGGATAGTGTTCAAAATTGGTGCGTTTCGACACGGAGGATGCAAGTGTTGTTTTTGAGTCAGCGATGTCATTTGTGTTTGGCGGCTCTCAGGCAATACAGCCATTGAAAGCGCCCGAGCGGACAAGGACCACTGTCTATCTTTTTGGGGTAGGACTGAGTTCTGGGTGTGTGCCGTTCATTTGACCTGTTTTGTCATTTAATTTTGTTTGGTTTCAATTGTTCAGTAGTCGTAACATACGCCAGACATGTTGGAAGACTCTTCAATTGTGTGTACAATTTTGCTGCAATGGAGGACATTGCCATCATGAAGCAAATGCACAAACATGAAGCTCAAGTTCAATCATTGCGTGAGATTTTCCATGAAATCGACAACCAAAAATCCAGTGTGGCCGCTTGAACTGAGTACGAAAAGACATTTGAGCAGAGCGCTGTGAACGGTACATTTTTCAACGAAAATAACAATGTTCGATTTTTTGTAATTTTATCTTGATTGAACTCCTGGAGTATTTGTTGTGTCCTTGTTCTTTGTTAGTTTTCCCCCATACTAAATGGATCCTCCAGATTTGTTTCAATACTTATTGTCACACAAAGATATTGAAATATTTGTTCCTTTTTTCTAATTGCTGCTACCATTCCTTACTAGTGGTTTGGGTATTCTTTTTATGTGGCACCTTCCATACTGGAAATTGATTTATCTATATATATATATACTCTGTTCTATGTCCTTCCTTCTATGTTTCTCTACTACTTGATTCCTTCCTCACATCTTTCATTGCTCCGCTGTTCAAGCTGCTCCTATTCTTAAGAGGATTTTTCTGTTAGACAAAACGGTTTCTTGCGTCATTCTTTCTGTGATTAAGTACTGAGAGGCAAGATAACAAGGGCCGTGCAATGGAAGGAGCTAGACTCAGCTAGACCAGAGACAAAAATGGCTGTTCCCTTTTTTGATACGTTGTTTATTGTAGATGAAACCTTTGAACGGCATAGATTTCTTCAAATGTTCCAATTTTGTAAGTTTGGAAAGCAAAGTTGCTGACAAAGACTGTGGTGAAGGGACAGTGCGAAACAAACCTCACACAAGTTGTGAGGGGACTCTGGCAAAAAGTTGTTTATTGAAAAATATTAGCTCCTTTCTGTTGTTGAAAAACCATCTAAAAGAGCAGGACCAAAGGTTGGTATGACCTTGCTTGCAAAGATATTGTGCTGACTACAAACGACACATTGTGTACATGGGTTTGCTGCCTGTGCGGCCCTTGCTTTGAAGGAGATGCCGATGCCAGGTAAAGTGGTGTTGTTTGTTGTTCGTAAATGTTTCATGGATGGACGATATGGACGTGCTTGTGGAGTGTCCACCTCACAAACATGTTGCGAATCCACTTATCACCTACCTCCAACCTCTACATTCCAAGGTAAGTTTGAAGCAGCTGAAGGCACGTTTGGGCATGGAAAGGGAGTCCGTCCATGGAAGAGAACCTGCAATGAACCTCTTGTTTTCGGTGCGAGGATGGACTGCACATTGTAAATCAGCAGTCGAGCAAGGTGTTGTGGCATGGAGTTTGCCCGTGGTGACTTGTTATCCGTAGCTGTCCTTTCCACCTAAGTGGAACTCAGATTTTTGAAATCGATCTGATCTTGAGATGGAGAGATTGCGTCGAACTTTGGCAGGAGGCATTGCAGAGTCAGAAGTTGGCTTCCTTCATGCATTCCATGGACATCTCTACCCAGGATGTTTGGACTCTCTTCATGTTTCTTGGCAAAGCAAAGACGCTACTAGTAACAAGTGCATCACTTCTAGTAACAAGTGCCTTACTAGTAGTAACAAGAAGCTAGTAGAAACAATGCGGAGCATGTGAAACATTCTGGAGTCAGACCCACAGCCGTTGCGATGCTACAGGGGTTCAATAAACAGAGTGTTTTTGGGACTCAATCCTTTAAGGCGCCTGTGTTGCTCTCATTTGGAACTTCATATGTCAAGCCCTTGGTCAAGCCCCCCTATATGCATTTGCAGTTTGCCAATCCTTAAATCAATTATTTGGTCAATGGTGAAGCCACATAGCCCTTCGAAAGAAAAGGAATGCTATGGTCCTTGTTGCTCAAAAACATTGTTGGTCCGAAAAATGGAAGCCGTTGCCAGGGTGATTGACGCAAACGGAGATGGGCAAGTGACGCTGGACGCTTGCCGGTTGAATAGATTGTGTGAGATTATGTATCACATTGTTACATGTCTTCGTTGGACTTCATCCGCACGGAGGGAGTGTGTTGGGTGGTCGAGATTGCTTTGTTGAAGTGCTAGGATGAATTTGTCTTTGGCTGTATGCAGCTTCAAGGCCCAGCACTTTGGTTCGTTCCTCCAACGTAGTTCACAGAGCAAGCAAACGGATGGTTCTCGTGGTGTTCTCGTGGTCAAAGAACAGGTTGCATAGAGTCACACCGATTCAACGGACCTTCTCAAAACTTGAAGCGTTGTGACGCGTGGGGTTCCTTTCAATGCGGCCTGCGTGACTAATTAGCATATACAATAGGTCTTCCAATCCATAGAGAGGAACATGCTTTTGCTTTGCGGCTGGCCAGATGGATGAAGTGTGAAAACTTCACTTTGAGCGACAAACTTGACTCGACGCATGCTGTTGTTTCCAATTTGCTGGCAGTGCCAGGCCCGGCAAAAGGCTTGCAAATGGCAAGGATGAGCTACGAGAACACAATGATGAGAGAATCTCCTCTGAACAGAGACTTTTTTCGGGCAGTCGATTCAGTTTGTTTAGACAGACGTGCAGTATACAGGGGCAGGGATTTGGAGGCGTCTTAAACTCCTGTAGTGGGTCCTACAGCTGCAATGCTGTGTTGTTACTGCCTATTTGTGGTGGACAATTGATGAAGGAGAAAGTGCCACAGGGCCCCAGGGCTCCAAGTGTCAAAGTTTCACTTTTACTACTGCCGGTTGGGGCACAGTTTACACTTTAGGATACCGGATACACTGATGCACTTGCTTAGGGTTGAACGTTGCAGTTTCTCGTGGCATCAGGAAGAGATCAAGAGGCTTCAGTCTGATGCCTGGCAGCACTCCTGCCGGGTTCCAATGACTACTGTAAGTCCGTGGGCCTAACTTCAGACTTGGGTGACCACGGATTCTCAAGTCAAGGTGGCTTTTTGGTCAGGTTGCAGAACGACCGAGACTTTGAGACCTTGGTACTCGTTTGTTCTCGTTTTTCTTTCAAGCATATATGAATGCTAAACTGCAGTTCAATGAAGGCTGGAGCATACCTGCAGATATGGGCATGAGCTTTCTATCTTGATTTGTCCAATATGTCCAAAAGAAAAGATGCCAGACCGACAAGGCCCTCCTTCTTGTGTTCGAGGAGTGAGCACCTGCAGAGGATTCAAAGTGTTGTATTCAGCAAATTGAAGTGGCCTGCGATGGCTTGTGTTCTGAGGATTTTCGCAGCATGAAAGATACAATGAACAAAGCCACGCGAGTCCCAAGCCAAAACCGACGATGGAGAAGCGACTTGCAGATACCACGGTCGCCAATTCACTCTGAGAGGCCCTCGGAGCGTGAGGACTATGCGTCTTTTTGACGTCTTTTGACGAGGCCTTCGCCAAGAATGTGGTATTCAAGAATGCATTACTTCTACGAATACATACATAGATATAACTATACATATATACAAGTAGTTCCCGGGCAAGCCGGCGGCGGAAGTTTCCTATAAGAAGAAATTGACCTATAGGAGTGTCCACGTTCTCTCCAACATGCGCGTCCTCCAGTCAAACGCACGCGCTCCGGACTTTTGACCCACGGGATTCCACGTGTGTAAGGTGTGTGTGCCCCCTGCGAGAGATGACGCACATCCGGCCACCACAACTTGCCAAGGATGCGGTCCACATCGGATCATCGACACACACATCCCACCGTGGCATTCTTCAGTGGCGGCAAACCTTGCATGTCACACATCGGACTGAATGGAATCCGAATTTGAATGTAAAATCTGTCTTGAACTCTGAGACTATGTATGATGAGTCTTGTATGATGAGGGGTGTATGACAAGTGATGAATGATGAGTGGTGTATGTTGAGTGGTGTATGACGAGTGGTGTCTTGACCAGCAGTTGAATGTCCTGTCCTGCATAACTGCAACCAAATACTATCAGTATGAACTGAACGCGCACGCCGTGAGAGATGACTCAGCAGCGAGAGATGACTCAGTCGCGAGAGATGACTCAGCCGCGAGAGATGGCTATAGCGAGAGCTGACTCAGCAGCGAGAGATGAATGAGCAGCGAGAGATGACTCCTCCGTGTACTACACTGTTCGCCAGTACAACTCTAGTTGTACTACGAAGTCGCCAGTCCTCAGCTTCTAGCTGCATAGATTGCTCCGCGTGCTGAAGTTGTATTACAATGTCGCCAGTTCTCATCGTCCAGCTTGCCAGATACTCCGCGTGCTAAAGTTGTACTACAAAGTCGCCAGTTCTCAGCTTCCAGCTCTACA